CTGCCAAGTTACTCTTTCCCTCTGTAAATAATAGAAATTTGAACCGGGATGGTGGTGCATACCTTTAATCCCAGTACTCAGGAGGCAGAGGCAGGCAATCTCTGTGAGTTCAAGGCCAGCCTGATCTACATGGTGAGTTCCAAGGCAGCCAGGGCTACACAGAGAAATCTTGTCCCAAAAAAAAATCAAAAAAAAGACTTGAGCACCAGATACCTTGAAACTGTACAACACAAAGCATGTGAAATCTTGGTTTATTTGTATTTCTGTCTACCGACCTGTGTCACTTCACACCAGAGTGAGGGGCTCCAGAGGCTGTGTGTCTGGATGTTATATGGACACGTCAAGGCACTAGGGAAAGGAATCTACACATGTGGAGTATTACTTTAGCTTTGTGGAGGTCTGGCGCCTTGGTTTATGCTGCATTTGTTTAACAATGTAAAAATGTGTTGTCTGCCTAAGGCACCTGATTGGTCTAATAAAAAGCTGAACAGTCAGTAGCTGGGCTGTAGGAGGATAGGCGGGGCTGTCAGGAGGAAAGAATAAACTGGGGGGTAGAATCTAGGCTTGGGGGTATAAAGGAGAAAGAGGAGATACCAGGACAGTCAGCCAGGCAGTCAACAGACAGACAGACACTGCCTGGCCCCTTCTTTAATCCTGCTTCCAGGGTAGTGGGACTGAAGTCAGGTGGGCAACTATGGCTGCCCTGTCACTAAGCCTGGATTAAAATCTCTTCCCAGGCCATGTCCAGAATTACAAAGAAGGAGCAGAACAATATTAGCATATCCTGACCCTTTGTTAGGCATGGCAACAGTGTGGGAGGCTAGGTGACCACCTTCTGTGTGGCAGGTGCAAACTATGGCCTGATAGTCTGGCCGCCATACAATGCAGACATATGGGCCTGTATAATATATGGCCCTACCGTGGTGGTGGTGGTGCACAACTTTAATCCCAGCACTCAGGAGACAGAGGCAGGCGAATCTCTGTGAGTTTGAAGCCAGCCTGGTCTACAGAGTGAATTCCAGGATAGGCTCAAAGCTACAGAGAAACCCAGTCTCAACAAAACAAAACACCAGCCAAACAAACAAGAAAACATAATGAAAGAAAGATAAAAAGACTCAAGGAAAAAGGTTAATTTAAAGTATAAGAGATAGTGGGACATGCATAAGATAAGGCTAAACATTCATAACTAAAAATAAGTCTCAGTATCATGATTCAGGAGCTGGCTGGTGGCCCAAAAGCAAGCCTGTTACAGCACACATATGCCTTATGAATATGTATGATACACATCTGTATTCGTTTTCTGTTTCTGTGATAAAGCACCTTTACCAAAAATAACCCAAGAAAGAAAGGATTTCTTCTGTCTTACCAGGATGGTGCATGGCTTGCCCTAGCTGGCTGGTTCCTTCTCTCCCTGCTGGTTTGATCTTGGTAGGTTAGCCAGGCTGACCTCCAACTCCTGATCCTTTTGCCTCAGACTCCAGGCAGCCTACTCTGATCCGTTAAGAAGCCAGCCACAAGGCAGTTCCTCTATGAGCGAAACATTTTATTGGAAGGAATGCTTGTGTGAACAACCTCAGAATATCTGAAAGGCAAATCTGTGTGGCCCTCCTAACTACCCGGTGTCTCCCAGACCAGCAAGGGCCCTGTCACCAGGCCACACAGACCTCCCAGTTTTGAGGGATCAGGAATCTAAGACGTGTCACAGACTCCGAGTGTGGTGATCGTGGCTTAGCTCGAGGAGTAAACCCTGTCCTCACATGGTGGGAGGGTCAAGGACTCAGCGCAGCTTCCTTTGGCCTGAAGACCAAAGGCCTCAGTTGCTACAGCTATGGTGCTTGAAGCCCTAAATTCTTTTTTTTTTTTTTTTTTGGTTTTTCGAGACAGGGCTTCTCTGTGGCTTTGGAGCCTGTTCTGGAACTAGCTCTGTAGACCAGGCTGGTCTCGAACTCACAGAGATCCGCCTGCCTCTGCCTCCCGAGTGCTGGGATTAAAGGCGTGCGCCACCATCGCCGCCCGGCCCTAAATTCTTTCTGTAGAAAGGCGTGGTGCACACTGTATTAATCCCAGCGTTTGCAAGCAGGACAAGGAGGCTCAGAATTTAAGGCCATCCTCAGCTATCTAGCAAGTTCAACTCTAGCAAAAGCAAACAAAACAACAACAAAAAAGGTGGCACCAGAGGGACAGAGTGGTGAACAGCACTTGCTGCTCTTGCCAGGGAGTGTGAGTCTAGTTGCCAGCACAAATGTGGTTCCTGAACGGGAGGGCAGTCACTCCGTCGTCAGCGGACCTGACACCCTTCTCTGGCCTCCGAGGCACCTGTACAATATGCACATAACCACACACACATAAATAAAAATAATTCTTTCAAAGAAGTTTATAAGACACACAGGGCTAGCGATAGGGCTCAGAGGGAAAAGGAGCTTGCTACCAAGCCTGACAACCTGAATTTGATCATCAGGATGCAGGGTAGAAGGAGAGACCTGACCCCGGAAGTTGTCCTCTGACCTTTCCCCGCTCACTGTGAAACTGTGGAACACACCCCTCCCTTCCCCAGGCAGGCCCTGAGTTTACACAGCTGAGGGTGGCCTTGAGCTCCTGGTCCTTTTGCCTTGCCCTCACCTCCCAGAAGCCACCATGCCTAAGTTTAAGAAATGAGGGTACTCGGGGCAAGCGAGATGAGCCGCATCTCCAGCCCAGAAGTCCCTTGCTTATACTTACAATGTTCAAATATTTGATGAAAATAAAAATTGTGAAATTCTTGGCTTCCTATTTTTAGTTGTGGAAGCACGGCGGTGGAATGTTGACAGGAAAGTTAATTCTTTAAAAATGAATTGATCATTAACAAAACCCCAAATAGTCATGGCTTCTCCTGTCTACACACAACGTGCTGGTCAACGTGAAAAAGTTTCAGCACAATCTTCCTAACAAATGGTGCTGGGCAAACAGGCCCAGCATTTACAGGAAGGGGCTGAGGAGCCTGCTGCCTTCAGGGTAGCAGAGTCTGTAATCTAAAGTGCTAGAGGCTGGGGCAGGAGGATTGCTGTGAGTCCAAGGCCAGCTTCCTCTAGTTGATAAGACTTTGTCTCTAACAACAAAAGAAAAAAAAAAGGTGAAGTTCTGAAGATGGAATACAGGCTGTGTTTCGGGGCTCACAGTTATAGCCTCAGCTCTCAGGATGCTGAGACAGGAGGATTGTGAGTTCCTGGCTGTCTGAACCACACACTAGGAACCTATCTAAAAAGGAACAAGAGTCAGATTACACAACAAATGAATCTACTCACTTCCTGAGTTTTTTCACCCCGTGACTACTCCCTGGTACTCACCTGTGCACTTATGGGCGCTGCAGGGTTTTACGTGAAGTGTGGTAGTGTTACTTTGTTTTTGTTTTTGCTATTTTGGCCTTTCTTTTTTTTTTTCTCTTTCTTCTTTCTGTCTTCCTTCCTTTCTCTCTCTTCCTCTTTCCCTCTTTCTTTCTCTTTCCTTCCTTCCTTCCTTCCTTCCTTCCTTCCTTCCTTCCTTCCTTCCTTTCCTTCCTTCCCTCCCTCGCTCCCTCTTTTCCTCCCTTCCTTCCTATCTCACTGTGTAACACTGGCTATCTCTCACTCTGTAGACCAGGTTGGCCTCAAACTCACAGAGATCCGCCTACCTCTCGAGTGCTGGGATTAAAGTGTGTGTCACTGTGCTCATGTTTGTGAAGTGTTTTTCATCACAACTTCAAGAACATTTGCCAGGATAGAGTTTAATAGTTCTACGATCTAAAGAACAGGGCAGACTGGGTGAGGGTGAGGTGTAATTTTGCTCCTTGGTGCACCAGCCATTATGTGCCACATGGCTGGCTGACCACTACTGTTTTATGATGTGTGAGCTCAGTTGTTGCTGCTATAGAGCTAAGACTCACAGCCTCATCTGTTTTCTCACCGAGGCTGGAGGATCAGACACTCAAGGTCAAATGAGCAGTTTAGTGAGACTAAAAAACAAAATGGAAACTTGAATATGACAGAATAGTAGATCCCCTGCCTAGAATCCCCAAGTGAGGGGTTGGGGTGTGGCTCAGTGGTAGAGCCCTGCCTAGAACCCCCCAGTGAGGAGCTGAGGGAGTAATATTGTGACTGATTCCTTGCCTAGCAGGAACAAGGCTCATGATTCCATCTTCGGTACTGGAAACAAAAAAAGGGCCATGTCCCTTCAAAAAATGCATTAATTTCCTAACCTCAGCTAGTACGGAAGTGGCTTTACCTAGAAGCAGGAGTGGATGTGGTTGTGCATGCTGCCAATCCCGGCACTATGGAAGCAGAGACAAGTAGATCAGTGTGATTTTGAAGTCAGCCCTGTGGTTTACATTGTGAGTTACAGGGTGGCCAGGGCTACATAGTAAGACCGTGACTCAAAACAAAACAAAAAGCGTCATAGCCCCTAAGAATCTGAGGAGGTTTTAGAATAGCACTTTGGGATGGCTGATGATTGGTTCCGCGGTAGAGCTCGTGGCAAAGGCTCTTGGTGCCGAGTTTGATGCCGAGCTAGAACTACCAGAACCGCTGGTGTAAGAAGAGAATTGACTCTTTTGTTTGTTCTCTCTGTGTAACTGCCCTGGCTGTCCTAGAACTCGCTCAGTGGACCAAGCTAACCTCGAACTCGCAGGCATCCACTTGCTTCTGCGTCTCCAGTGCTGGGATTAAAGGCGTGCACCACCACCGCCTGGCGGCTGGTGAGAATTGACCTTGAAAGTTGTCCTTTACACACACGCCCCCTATACACACACAAGTGAAAACAGTGTACAATGTCGAGCATTATCAAAAGCTACCTCTCCCATGAGATTACGTGGTGGCAGTGGCCCACAACACAAAAACAAAAGTCTCCATGCTTAGGCAGTTTTGATGAACAGTTCTGAGCCGCTTCTACAGCCAAGAGTGTTGTGCCCAGTGTGGAGTGGCACCTTAAGGGTCTCACAGTCAAAGAAACACAGGAAACATGTTTCGGTTCTTCCCAAACACATAGTTTTTTCTCAAACTATTTATTACCCCAAGTAAGAAAAAAATTAAAATAAATAAATAAGATAAATACCCCTAATAAATAGAAGAACCCCAAACAGATCCATCCCCAGAATCAGGAAGTCTCAAGAAACATAGCTGGGGCTTCGGCCCTGCAAAGGCCCCATCATGCTCAGGGGGTCAGAAGAGCCCACATCGGGGGGCTCTGGGGCCAGGAACCCTGGTGGCTCCTGCGGTTGGTGGAGCTGGCCTGGCAGAGGCAGAAAACGCACAGGTCCCCAGGCTGCTAGGCCCTGGCTTGGAGAGTCGCTCTTAGGCAGGCGCAGGGGCAGGCCATGGGCTTCAGACTGGTAGACGTTGTATCCATCCTCCAGAAGCAGCTCCCTGAAGCTGCAAGCCTCAGGATCGAAGTGAACCTGGGGACAAAGGAAAAAGTCAGAGAGCCACGGTACATTTCCATTTGCCAAGCCCTGACTCAAGGGTCCAGCCCTAGACTCCTTCAGACTCAAGGTCCAGCCCCAGACTTCCCCTTCAGACTCAAGGTCCAGCCCCAGACTCCCCCTTCAGACTCAGGGTCCAGCCCCAGACTTCCCCTTCAGACTCAAGGTCCAGCCCCAGACTCCCCCTTCAGACTCAGGGTCTAGCCCCAGACTCCCCCTTCAGACTCAGGGTCTAGCCCCAGACTCCCCCTTCAGACTCAGGGTCTAGCCCCTAACTCCTCTGTCATACTCAGGGTCCAGCCCCTGACTCCTCCGTCAGACTCAGGGTCTAGCCCCAGACTCCTCTCTCAGACTCAGGGTCCAGACCTGGACCAACTCCCCTCACACTGGGGCCCCAGACCCAGCCCTCCCTATTCACAGGCTAGCAGGTTCAGGCCCAGCATCCTCCCTCAACTGTTCTGTGTCTAGCTGGCGGTCTGCCCACCACCTCCAGTCATGTCACTTATTGGTCATGGGCACGAGAATGTCCCACTGTCAGCAGTAGCAGAGCCTATGGGAGCGTCCAGAGTTACAGTTCTGACACCTGGCCTCTCCAAGGCCAGGACTCGAAGCCAGTGGTGATCTGCCTGGCCTCAGTTTTCTCCTCTTGCCAGCACAGACAACAGGAGGGGCCAAGGTAGAGCACACTGACCATGCACTGGCTTTAAGCATGGGCCCTAAGAGAGGACCACAGAAAGGGACTCACCGATCCATACAGAGCTCCATCTGGCTGTTGGCAAAGAAACCTAGAGGCCTTGACACCTCGTATTTGAATGACCCCTGGCTTCAAGGCTTTGAGCTCCAGGAGACCTGTGGGGCAAAACAAAGGCACTCAGGCTCTGTCTAGACCTGGGAGACCCCAAGACCCTGGTCTGCTCCCCACACTCACTTTCTGGGCTGCGGAGTGTGGCGCCTACCACTGTGCCATCCTCCCTGACCTCCAGGTGGGCTTCAGTGCCCTGGTCGTCATCTGTGTAGAGGTGCCTCTGCCGGACTTGACCCCCAAACTGGAGGAGGGGGCTGGAGTCAGGAATGGGGTGTGCCTGGCAGACCCCCAGCAGGAAGACAGCCAGCAGAGGGACCCACGGTCCTGGGACCCCAACTCTAGGTTTCATCCAGTCCATCAATAACACACTCCTCTAGAGAGAGTCCCTGGCAAGCAGGCGGCCGAGGAACGGTTGTCTGGAATTGGCTTCTGAACTGGGTGCCCCAGCAAAGCAGATTCCAATTCAAACTGGGACTCAGGCAGAGCAAATGCCTGTGTCTCCTGTTGACTCTCCAGCTAACAAGACACTAAGGCTGTCTGCTGAACGCAGAAGTACCAGAATTTATACCCAGACAGGCCCGCCCATGTGTCCTCCTCACTCCTGACGCGTGATATTTGACACACTTGGCAGAAACCTGAATTCCACCGTGGCCAGGGCTGCCTGGACAGATGATGCAATGGGGGGGGGGTCTTTCTAACAGGGGTCTGAGGGAGGAGGGCTGGGGTCTGCATTCCTGGGTCTGAGGGAGGAGGCTGAGGTCTGAGGCAGGAGGGCTGGGGTCTGAAGGAGGAGGGCTGGGGTCTGCACTCCTGAGTCTAAGGGAGGAAGCTGGGGTCTGAGGGAGGAGGCTGGGGTCTGCACTCCTGGGTCTGAGGGAGGGGATTGGGGTCTGCACTCCTGGGTCTGAGGGAGGAGGCTAGACTCTGGGTCAGGGTTTTAAGAAGAAGCCCTGGGCCTCAGACTTTCCATATAGTCCACCCTATTTGAACTTCAAGGTTCAAGGAGTACTGGGGTCTGAGACTCTTTAATCACTGGGAGAGCTGCATCTGCAGGTGGAAGTCTCCCAGCTGGCTCACCAACCCCTGTCAGGATTCAGATGCTGCGCTCATCTGCCGTCCTCCCTGATGCAATCCTTGGGCTTCTTTCACCAGAGACTGTCCTGTACTGGTGCTCCCCAGATGCCCTGGGGGATGGGCAGGGGCAGTCTCTTTCCCACCAAGCCAGGCGGGGGTGGGGGGGATGGGGGGTGAAGAGCTGGATGATTTCTTGCAGTCAAAGGCATGCTGGGGCAAATTCCTGGGTTTGAAGCCTGAGCAAGGTCCCTTGGGACTGAGGGAGTGTCTAAGGGAGGAGGCTGGGCAATGGACCTTTAGCTCTGAGGTGGGCCTGGGCCTTGGTAGCCTGGAGAAATGATCTAATCTTTGGCCAGCCAAGTGGAATTCCTGAGTCTTTGTAAGGTGTCCACGCTCAGGTAAGGGTTCTACATTAAAAGGAGAGCTAAGCCCTTGTCCCCGGGCAAATCAGCTGCCTTTCCAGAAAGAACGCTAGACAACTCTTCCTGGTCAGAAGGCTACAGGCAGAGGCTCGTGCCTGGGCTGTGGCAGCTGGCAAACAGGTTTTCCATCCTCCTGGGAGGGTACAGCTGGTGGGGTTGGAGGAGGGAGCGGGTGCCCAGACCTTGCTCCACTGGGGCGTGGCTACTCCCATCCAGGTAAGGACACTAAGTCCCTGGCCTGGAGAAGGAAACGTGGGCCCGGAGAATGAAACGTGCGTGCGTGAGACCGGAGCTCCCGGGTTCAGCCTTGCAGTCGGGAGCTAGTCCCCGGATCCGTGCAAAGAATGCGGCACTTTCTGGGGACCAACTGGACTGCCCACCGTGGCGGCAGTGATCCGAGAATAAGAGACAAGGGGCGCGGCGCGCTTCTACCTGGGCGGAGGACAGGGTGAGGCACCAGGTAGGATGGGGCTCCGCCTCCTGCTACCTGCGCGGCCCGAAGGGCGGAGGCTGAGCGTCTTGGAACCGTGTCTCTCTTTCTCTCTCTATCTCTCCCTCTCTCCGTCCAGGTCTGCAAGCCCTCAGCCTCCTTAGTCTGTTGCAGGAAGGAAGCCTAGAGGGGAGGGCTACGGAGACGGAGTCGGGGCTGCTGACCATCAAGCGCCGCCGATGAAGGCTCTATTTTGGGACTGGAAGCTCAGACTAAAAGAATCCGTTTGTACCACCAGCAAGGAGCTCAGGTTAGTCGGCACTGGGCATGTCAGACTCCAGGGATGACGAGGGTATGTAGGCCACTCTAACCCTATCCCGGTCTTCCTCAAAACCTGGGATCCAATCCCAACCTCTTCTCGCAAGAATCCCTTCTCTTCTGCCACAGCAAGGCTCTTGACCCAGGAAACTAAACCCGTTCATAGAAAGTTCCAAGGTTCACAGGCTTCTCCGGGATGCTTGCTTTTTGGCTATGTAGCTGCCTTGGAGTCACCCAGTGGGGCAGACTTGGGTTGAACCGTTTGTTTGGTATGTTAACTGATCCTCACGTGGGATCCACAGATGTTTGTTCCTGACTCACAGGGAAAGTTATACAGCATCCAGGGGCTTGCCTTTGCGCTTCTAAACGCCTCCTCCTCCCCTGGGCTCCCCTAGTCCCCAACACTTACTGCCTGTGGAGGTAGATGTGCCCTTACATATAGGTGCACCCGGGAAAGTAGCTGAGATGTGAGGTTCCAGCAGGCCCTGAACCTCAGTGTCTTGCACCCACTCCTTGGCATGTCTCCCGACCGCATCCAGCCTGGATTTAGGCTCTCTTCTGACCCAGGAGCTGCTCACGTAGCTCCTGGAGGCAGAGGGGTCCCAGCCTCTGGTTCACACTGTGTGCCTTCTAAGCCACTTTTTCCCCCACAGCCATGTGGACCCCCAGCCGCAGGCAGCTCTGCCTGGCCTTCTTGCTGGTCTGTGTGCTCTCTGCCGGTTCTCTTTTTTTCCACCTGCGTGGAGAAAACTTCTTTCGAAATGAGCTAACTCTCTCTCTCCTGTGTCCGGACTACCACCTGCTGAAGTCCCCAGTGGCCATGGTATGCCTGCCGCGCCCATTGCAGACAGTCAACGCCTCCCCTTCCTGTCCCGGACAAGTCTCCTCACTCCCTGGGACTTGGACCATCTCCCCAGGAGGCAGGTTTGGTAACCAGATGGGGCAATACGCCACATTGCTGGCCCTGGCCCAGCTCAATGGCCGCCGAGCTTTCATTCAGCCTGAGATGCATGCCACCCTGGCCCCGGTGTTCCGCATCTCCCTGCCCGTGCTGGACCCTGAGGTGGACAGCCTGACGCCTTGGCAGCATTTAGTTCTACATGACTGGATGTCAGAGGAGTACTCTCGTCTGGAGGACCCCTTTCTCAAGCTGTCCGGTTTCCCTTGCTCTTGGACCTTCTTCCACCATCTCCGGGAACAGATCCGCAGGGAGTTCACCCTGCATGACCATCTTCGGGAAGGTGCCCAGCACCTGCTGAGTGGGCTCCGCCTAGGCCCCCGGGGCATCCGCCCTCACACCTTTGTGGGTGTACACGTGCGTCGTGGAGACTATCTGCAGGTGATGCCCGATCGCTGGAAGGGTGTGGTGGGGGACCGAGCTTACCTCCAGCAAGCCATGGACTGGTTCCGTGCCCGACACAAAGACCCCATCTTTGTGGTCACCAGCAATGGCATGAAATGGTGTCTGGAGAATATTGACACATCCCGTGGTGACGTGGTCTTCGCGGGCAATGGGCAGGAGAGCATGCCGGGGAAAGACTTCGCGCTGCTCACACAGTGCAACCACACGATCATGACCATCGGGACCTTTGGCTTCTGGGCGGCCTACTTAGCTGGTGGAGACACTGTCTACCTGGCGAACTTCACCCTGCCAGACTCGGAGTTTCTGAAGATCTTCAGGCCGAAGGCTGCCTTCCTGCCTGAGTGGGTGGGCATTGATGCAGACCTGTCTGCCCTGCAGGCTCAGATTGATCCTTGGAAGTCAGACGGCCTTTTAAGATTGGTCTGAACCACCTAGCATCAGCCATCATGTCTCTAGAGGCCTGTGTCTTCGGAATTTGTCTGTGGTAGTCCACGAGCTGGTGGGACTCTCTGGAAATGTGGGAATGTTCTAGAAATATTCCGACAGAACCTCACTGCCTGATGGCTGGGGAGTCCGAGTTGGCCCTGTGAGCTACAGTCCTCTTCTCGCCCACCCAGCTTACCTTCTTAGAACTTCTGGATTATGGGAGTAAGGAACACCTGACACACAGCTGGCTTTCGGGGCTCCTGGAGCCATTCTCGGGGGGCATGGTGGCTGCTTCCAAGGGCCCTGCCAGCACTCTAGATAGTGAAGAATTGAGTGAAGGTGAGAACTCCGTATCTTGCCGCTGCTGCTGCTACAGACATGGAGTGATGCGGGAGGCCCTGCCAGGAGCTAGCGTCGGCTTAGAAAGATGAGAACGACTCCAGCAGATCTGAGTTCTGTCCAACTCCTGGGCCACAGAAAAACCTTCCAGACTTTTATTTAGGGTGGAGAGAGGAAATGGGCTAAAATGTGGGAGCGAGGGGAGAAGGGGCCACTGCTGCGGGGCCGTGCTCCTGAGGGGCTGGGCTTGCAGAAGCAGAGTCTCCTAAAAACCCAGGGACTTTTTAAAGAAGAGTTGAAAACTTTTAAAGAAATAGATTAGCTCTGAATTTAGGATCAAGAAGGTTCCTTCTCTGATGCTACTGGGGACCAGGAGTCTGTTTTCTGGATGTGACCAGGCCCTCAGAAAACAAGGGTTGCCCTTGGGCTCACAGAGCCACTAAATCTGCCTTTGAGAAGGTCCAGGAAGGAGGGTCTGAGGTGTTCCAGACCCCTGCACCAGCTTAAGGCCCTGCAGGAGCAAGGGCTCGGAGCTTGGATGTTTCCCTGAGACGTCAGGTGTCCTTAATACTTTTTTCAGAGAAGTTTCCTCAGATAACATTTAAATCCAAGCATATTCTCAGGGATTTTTCTGGGTACCTTTTCCCAACTCAGCCTGGACAGGCTGGAAAGAGGGAGCTGGGAATTAAAGGGCCAAATCAGCAATCATGTATCTGAAGTTTTTGTAACTGACTGCACGGCATGGATGAGTGTGCAACCCAATGTGTGTGTGTGTTTCTGTGTGCCAGGGACATTCATGACTGGACATTCATGACTCATGGATACTGTACCTACTCAATTCTGACAACCCTTGCTGCTAGATTTGTGGTCCGGTTTCCCTCAATACCTTTCTCTGGAAACATCGATATTGTCCACCAGACCTTTCTTGTGTTTTGACTTATTTTGAGACGCTCTCTGTAGCCCAGGCTGGTCTAGAATGCACTATGGTGGTCCAGGCTGGCCGGGAATTCGTGGCAAACTTCCTGCTTCAGTCTTCCAAGTGCTACGACCACACGTGTGGGTCACAATGTTTGGATCCAGACCTCTCCTTATCAGTGTTTGAGGCGAGAAGAGTGTCACTATTGAACTACGTTTCCCACGCTGTGGGACTAGTCATAGGGAAAGAGAGCCTCTCCGGGGCCTTCTGGGAGTTGTAGTCCCAGTTTAGAAGACTAGCCATTTCCCGCATCTTCTCTGAATGCCAAGATTTCTAGTCAGCCAATGGGCGCCCTGCCGGAAACTTAGGGGCCAGGAAGACCAGCAAAGAGGCCAGAACCGGTTAGCGACTTCCATTCGGTAGGTGCCGGGAAAGTTCTACGAAGGGGCTGCCACCCTGTGACGTCATGGAGGGACGGGCGGGGCCTGCTTTGTTGCAGCCCAATCAAACTTAAGACTTAGGCTTCTGGGCGGGGCCAAAGAGCCCTAAGAAATATTTCTAAGGAATTAGGGTGCCTCACGTGGGATGTGGCCCGAGTGTTTTGTGAACGGGTGGCGACCCGTAACTCTCGGAGCCAGTAGAGAAACCTTAAATTCTTCTCCCCGGTCTTCCAAGAAAAACCTTAATCTTAGTCGTGAGAAAGTATCTGGGTGAAGCTTTAGCGCTTGAGGGCACGAAGTTGGAAAACCTCTGTTAAAGAGTGTTGTTTAAGGTACTGGGGGTTCTGAGAAGGGTGAGTCCTGAAAGTAAGGGGTCTCAGTCTTGAGGGAGATTCAGCAGGTCCCCCAGAAACTGGGGGATGGCTTTGGAGGAATGCTGACGTTTCTGTAGGACCTTTAGGTTCAAGGATTTAGAATATTTTTTATTCTAAAGACCTAGTTTGGTAGTTTCCAAGTTGGTTATTTATTAGACAAATTATATATATATATTAATTTGGAGGCAGTCTCAAATAGGCCATGGTGGTCTTGACCAGCCTCAGCCTTCCAAGTGCTGAAAACCCGGCTTCTGATGTCTGTCTGGTTTTGACTATTGAATGTCTCTAGTTTACGGTGTCACGGGGTTTTCAGTGCTTGAGCGCCTGGATGTTGATCCATTCTCAAGTTCAGAATTATGAATTATATGTGTTTGGGGGAGTTGGTGAGTGAGTCCATGGGTTTGAGGTTTGAATGGGGTGAGTTTGGGCATGGTCCTGAATTTGGGATCTGGTTTAATAGTTTGCAAGAATGCAACGAGGACCCTAAATTCTGAGGTCTCCTGGGTTGGGGCGGGGGTCCGAGTACACACACTTTGGGTCTTTTTGAATGATATCTCAGTTTTACTTGGGAATTTCCCACAGAACATCGCATTGAGCGTTGTAATCCTCTAAGACTGTATTTTGGCTTCTGTTTAGCGTCTCCCACCCTCGTTTTGGGGTGAGAAGATCCTCTGGCGGTACTGGCGAGCTGTGTGCCCTGGCCTCCATGGGGCCGCGTTTTACACTTTTGCTGGCGGCTCTGGCATACTGCCTGTGTCCGGCAAGGCCCTGCATCATGTGTGACCCGTTTGTAGTGGCTGCGCTAAAGACTTTGGAGCAGAGTTACCTGCCTACCCACCTGGCACCTGAGCATCACGAAAACGTAATGAAGAGGGTAGAGCAGGCAGTGAACGACTTCAAGGACCTGCCTTTGAATCAGGCTACCTATGTGGGGGCCGTGGGTAAGGCGGGCAGGCCAGGATGCAGACCTCGGGGTCCTGGGAGAGCAAGGGCTGGGCCAGAAGTCCTGACATAGGCGCTTCCCTGAGTTTAATAATGGAAAATCAAGCCGGGCGATGGTGGCGCAGGCCTTTAATCCCAGCACTCGGGAGGCAGAGGCAGGTGGATCTCTGTGAGTTCGAGACCAGCCTGGTCTACAGAGCTAGTTCCAGGACAGGCTCCAAAGCCACAGAGAAACCCAGTCTCAAAAAACCAAAAAAAAAAAAAAAAAAAAAAGAATGGAAAATCACTAGGTGTAATGGTCCACGCCTTCATCCCAGCACTCGGGAGGCAGAGGCAGGTGGATCTCTATGAGTTCAAGGCCAGCCTGGTCTACTTAACGTGAGTTGTGAGTTCCAGGACAGCCAGAGCTACATAGTGAGACCCTGTCTCAAAAAAGAAGAAAGAGAGAGACAGAGACAGAGAGAAAGAAAGAATGAAAAAAATGTTAAAGTCTTGGGATACAGAATCATGGAGTCCCTTTCCATAGCTCAGAATATTTTGGGTCTGGCAAGTTTGTGTGATAAAACTACAACTCCCAGAAGGCAACAAGCTGTTACCTCTTTAACCAGACCTCTCTTTGCCCAATGGCCTCATGGGTATTGTAGTTTCTATGTAGTGACAAGCCAATGTGACAGAAAAGCTGGTCTCTGGGGTTCTATATCTGCCCTCCACACACAGATGAGGACACACTGGAACAGGCATCCTGGAGTTTTCTGAAGGATCTGAAACGTATCACGGACAGTGATGTAAAAGGTAAATTACTAGAGGATGAGGGCAGAACCTCTGATTAAACCTCTTCTTGAGTGCCATTCTGGCTCTGCCATTTCTTAGCCACGTGGCCTTGAGCCTGGGACTGAGCAGCTTTCTTAGCCCTAATGTGGAGATCATAGTCGTCTCCCTTTCTCAATGGCTGTGAGGATTAACCCAGTGGCCCAGCCCTGTGCTTGGTGCTTCGTCTTACAGCCCTTCCCTGAAGGGTAGAGTGTGGAATGCCAAGACAGGTGGGCATCCCCGGACTCAAAGCAACTCAGGAGCTTGAAGCAGGAGGATTGTTTAAGCCCAGAGTTCCAGAATAGCTTGGGCAGCATAGTGAAATTCTGTCAAGCAAAAGAAAGAGAGGTGGCTCTGGCGGTGGTGGCGCACACGTTTAATCCTAGCGCTGGGGAGGCAGAGCCAGTCAGATCTCTGAGTTTGAGGCCAGCCTAGTCTACACAGCAAGTTCCAGGCTAGCCAGGACTACGACTCAGAGAGATCAATGAGAGGTGGGAAGTTGGGTACACTGGTGCGCTGGTTCGAGCTTGAAGGTGAGACAGAAGATCAGGTGCTCAAGGTCACCCTTGCCTACCAGTGAGTCAGGCCACTTGTAGTACCTGTACCCTGTGGAATGCATTACTGCACCTCACACCTGAGTTTGGGGAGCACCTTTCCTGGCTCTGCTTCCTCCTAGGAGAGCTCTTTATAAAGGAATTATTTTGGATGCTCCGTCTGCAAAAGGACATCTTTGCCACTCTTGCTACGCGTTTCCAAAAGGAAGGTGAGGAAGATGAAAGTCCAGGACCCCGGCCATCAGCTTCTTCAACCCTCTCCTCCATCCATGCCCTCAAGAGCCGTCCCCCAAGTCTGGCAGTGGTGGTGCATGCCTTTGATCCCAGCACTCGGGAGGCAGAGGCAGGCGGATCTCTGTGAGTTCCAGGCCGGCCTGGTCTACAAGAGCTAGTTCCAGGACAGGCTCCAAAACTACAGAGAAAACTCAGACCTCTCTTCAGCATCCACTCCCATTAATTTAGAAAGAAATATGATCCTCCGGGGCTTGGTAGCAAAGCCTGAAATCCCAGCACTGGGGAGGCTGAGGCAGCCTTGGGCTCTGTGTTGAGATTGAAAGAGCCTGTACTCACGGGATTTGAAGAGTGGAGGAAAAAGATAAAATGGCGTTTGAGACCACCCTGGGGTACGTGAGACTCCGTTCTGAAAACCACAACAAACCTGCTTGTTTTTCTTTTTTCTTCCCTCCCTTCCCCCTTCGGAGGCAGTTTATTGTCCCAACCAATGCGGTGAGTCCAATCTGCGCCCTCAGTTTCTCTTGCCCGATGAGCCCCTCCCTCCCTGCCCCAGGATGGGGGATTGTGACTCTCCTCCATTTGAGCTACCCCTGGACCTCCAGGATTGCTCTCCAGCTTGGATTTCTTAGGTAGTGGGTGGAGTTCTAGTTGCTCTCTTTCCTGAGCTTCTCAGTGGGGGCGGCGTTAGGTGGCCTTAACAACCCAGACCCTTGTTGCCTGCAACTGCCCCAGCCCTTGACCTTGCCAAATTCTCCTTTTAGCCCCACCTCTTAGTGGGAGAATACAACTTTAACCTTCGCCCTTCAGGCACGATGTTGCAGACTCTGGTCTGGTGTAATAGGTGCGAGAAGCAGGTCCACACTTGTCGGAAATCCATGGATTGTGGGGGTGAGCTCATCACCCAGCTCCAGCGTGTGAGAGGGATGGGGACTAGCAGAGAGGAAGCCGCAGCAGTACTCCCCCAGAAGTAGCTGCTGCCCTCTCTTTTTGCACAGAGCGCCGGATAGAGGTGCATCGCTTGGAAGACATGGTCCTGGACTGCCAGCTCAGTTGGCATCATGCTTCTGAGGGACTTACGGATTACAGTTTTTACAAGGTGGAAACATCCAGCTCCTGTGACCCTTGACCCTAAGTCTTTAGATTTGTGTGAGCCAGTCCCATGCCCTGAACCTGACCCTCATGGCCTGTTTGAGGTGTCTTCTACTGATCCCAGAGAGATCCCATGCCCTAACCAGGGACTTTCCTGTCCTAGCCACGCCACCACGGACGTGTGGGGGTTTATGATGCCTCCTGTCAGGATTAGGAAAATCAATAGTCCTGATTCTTGCCTCCCCTGCACCAAGGCCCCGGGGACCTTCTCACCCCTCTACTGCCCCAGTCCCCCAGTTCCCCAGGCCTCTGTGACCCCTTGAACTTGGGTCTAGGTTTGGGGGAACAATTCTGAGACCTTGCTGTCCAAGGGGAAAGATCCCTACCTGACCAAGTCGATGGTCGGCCCAGAGGATGCTGGCTACTACCGCTGTGAGCTGGGAACCATCAATGCGGGTCCTGCCACTATTATCCATTTTCGTGTCATAGGTCAGTATGGGGTGTT